CCATGTGTACTTTACTGGGTTACTGTACAGATCAAAAGAGAAAAAAATATGTGAAAATTCTCAGAAAGGTACAGTAGTGGAGGATGGTCATTTTGTGTGTACCTACCAGTAAGATAAACCTGTGATATTTTTTTTTTTTTGCTGAAAGATAGACAAAAATGACTTTAGAGTTATTCCAATGAGGGGAAAAAATACCTTTTCTCTTTCAATTATCAAATTTATAAAATTTAAAACTAACTACATTGTTCCTTTGCCACTGTTCCATCTACTAAAAGTGAAACCTGCAAACTCCCTATCACATCAACTCCTAACAACCCTCTGTAGTGAAACAGGACACCCCCGCAGTAGCCCCCATGTTCTCTTCAACTCCTACAGGAACCTAAGATGAGGAGTGTGTCCTCTAATTCAGAAAGTGTTTCCTACAGCCCACACACCTTCAAGAAAAATACAGACACACATCACAGGTGTTCCAGCAAAACTGCATGCATATATTATATTTCAAAAGTACCTAGTCATTAAAACCAATAGAAAGCAATAAACTTTCCTAATCTATGCTATCAACATTGTGGACTTAAATGGGATAAGATAATTATTTATTTTTTTCCTAAAGAAGCAAAGAAAATAAAGAGAACCCAGACAACTTTGATTGCTGCTAGTATGTGTTTAATTTTTGCCTGCCCTGTCGGAAAAAGGGGAATGAGGGATAAGGAAGAGGCAGTAAGGCAAATCATAGAAATGTACATATTGTGGTAGGATAAAGTAAAATAAACAAAACAGAAAGTAAAGATGATAAAATCAAATAAACCTGTGGGTAACGTCTTACATCTATGGCTACAATGGGCTTGCAGTGTCCCATAAGAAAGGCAACGAAAACCCCAGAGGAGCTAAGTCCAGGTCTCTCACCAGTCATTCTCCCAAAGAGAACTCAGACTCACCCAACACGAAGAAGGAGGTCAACATCAAGAGTAGCCCTAGGTCATGAGTTCTGCAAGGGCAGAGCATTTCTGTTTTGTTTTCTGCCCTTCACTCAGTACTTTTCCTCCTGACAGGTAGAGGAGCAGCTGTGAGCATGGCGAGGCTCCCTCCGGTCGACTTCTTAGTGCTGGTTCCTCTTAGTCCAGCAGCAGCAGGGGACTTCTTTCCTCCAAGCCCTTTCCCCTACTGGATGTGTTTTAGCCTGATTAGTAATTTGGAAGAGAAGAAACTCTTCTCTGGAACTTGACACAGCATTAGATTTCCTGTACAAGGCGCTGAAGCAAAGACAGAGGAAGCAGATTGATTGAGTTATCTTTCAGCTCATTGGTTCCCCTCTCACTTCTGCTGCTCACAGATAAACTTTACAGTAAGACATTGAACATGCCCAAGAAAAACGGATTTGTCTAAACTTACATTAAAAACTAAGACAGGGTATTTCTCTGTTTGGGGTTCATGGCTATACATTTCCCAGTCATGATACCTTTTAGAAGCTTTCTCCAGATTGAAGCGTACAGCCTTAGTATTCAGATCTGGAAGAAATATTTCTGCTTGAAAAATCCTGGATAAAATTGCTGTGTAGGAAGGAAATCTGCATACAAGTCTGGAAGTGTCAGTTTTCCATTGTTATTCTAACAAATAACCACAAACTTAGTGGCTTAACACAATGCAAACTTAGTATCTTACCAGGTAGGATGTCAGAAGTTTGGAATGAGTCTTATAGGACTAAAACCAAGGCGTGAGCAGAGCTACAGCTTTTCTGGAGGCTTATGGAGAGAACCTCTTCCATGTCCTTTCCAGCTACTAAAGGATGTCTGCATTCTTTGGCTTGTGGCCACATCATTCTAACCTTTCCTTCACTATCACATCTCCTTCTCTGATCATGACTCCCTTGCCTCCCTCTTATAAAGACCCTTCATGATTGTATTGAATCCATCAGATAATTCAGGATAATCTCTCTGTCCCACAATCCGTAATCACATCTGTGAAGTCCATTTTGCCCTATTAAGTGACATATTTTCATGAAGTAGACACTGGGGGAGCATCATTTTATGTCACAGTTCAGTACTCATTGGCAATTACTTTCATCTTTGAAGAGTTACACTGTCATTTTAACAAAATTAATAGACACTCATCTTTTAGTTGACACCCATCTGGAATTCCAACTTTCCAGGAAAACTCTGCCTAATGTTGCCAGTTAGTCTGCATTTAGGTACATCTGAGAGAGAAAAAAAAAAATCTTCTTTGTGTTAAGAATTTCCTAACCCATGGCAAAACCCTCCAGGAAGGGGAAGAAAACATTGCAAACAGGAAAAAGATTAAACACGATGCATTTTTTGTTCTAAGTTAGCAATTCCATCTTCCCTCTTTCCAAACATTAAACTATATATATTTTCCCCTCCCCCTTCTCTGGCTTTCTTCCCAGTGAATTGATTTGGCTCAGACAGTAAAACAAGGTCTCTAACGGCATGGAAGACTGAGAGAATGAGTTATGACAATGAGTGGATTATAGCAATCTTCTCCTCTGTCCAATGTTTAACCAGGTGTCAGAAAAATAAGTGAGAAAATGTCATTTAAAATAAAACACTCTTGATTTCCACCACATATAGCAGATCAGACCATGGATTCTGATAACAGACAGACCTAGAGTTGTCTCTGCTATGCAATTAATAGTCCAATGTCGTGAGGCACATTTCTTAATCAAGTCTATAGCCTTTTTTT